CTGCGACTGGAAATACACTTCCCATGCAGCATCGTGAACCGCACGCATTCTACTCGAGATGGGAACATAGACCGGACGTTCCTCGAGCCGCTGAGCAACCAACGCTTCCCATCAAGCTGCCGGATTCACCCGAGATGGCCAAGCGGAAGGCCTCGACGTCGAGCTTGGGGCGGCGGGATACTATTCCGTATCTCCCAGGATCTCTCTTCTGTCCAGAAGAGTCCAGCGATCTTGATCAAACCAATTCACTTGGACGTACGTACTAGTACTATTTCTGTGCGACATGGCGTGGCTAATGGTGTACATAAATATCAGAGGACTGCATGTGTTATAGTGATGCTGACATGGATCGACGGGCAGCTCATTGATGTCCTGGCGCGCGATACCTGTTACCAACGACGAGGCGATGTACGGCAAACACCTCAGTCATCAACAAGAGGTCCAATATTAGCACGCACCCGGTCAGCTTGGTCAAGTATGCTAAACTGGACGTGTGATATCAGTGTAACGTTGTTGACTGTATTCATGCGCTCGAGTAATGCTGATTACTCTGTTCCAGGTGGAGGTCCGGAATAGCCCATACGAATATCATCTCTTACTACGATCACGAAAACCCCGGAACACTTTCCCCTACGATGGGACCGTACACGCACTTCCACTCAATTTAGGGGGCAATCTTGTCACAGTAAGTATCGAAGTGCGGTCGGGAATTCAGTTGTCACTGATGATTGATCTAGGCGACTGGAACACGCATTTATGCTCGTGAACATGTTTACGAAATGAGCCTGTCATCACTATTTGTTGACTACCTCGCTCAATTTTCGCAGCTGTGGCAGACTGCAGCTGGCTGTCCAGTCCCGCTAGAGGCATCGACTTCTGTGCCTGGGTAAAAATAACCTTGTCGAAGTGCCAGCCTGGTTGCCTGGGTCTCAATCCCTCTTCAGCCAGATATATAACTGTTATCCGGGTTTATTTCCTCAACGGCGCCACTGGAAGCATGGCTGTTATGTTCGTGTCTAAAACATCTGGATGTAAGCCACATACTCACTTCAGTCTATGTAGGGAGCAAACGGTGAATAAGATCAAGAACTCTGCCTTCTACGATGGCGAACAGCAGTGGGACCCGTTTCTGACAGCGGAGAACATCGTGGACCACGATAGGTTCTTGACCTACTGTCCGCAGAAGCAAGTCGCAATCATCAGAGCCGCGGCAGGAATTCCATCTTATCTGAACCAGGTACATGACGTCGGCTTTGAAAGGAAAATCATTGCTCATCTCAAAATCAGTACCCAGTTCGTCTAGAAGTGAGCGTAAATTCTATCCAGTCTGTATGATATTGACACCCTGTGTCCAGTTCTTGACTGCAAATAGGTGTATCCGCTCAGCATGGACGAGGTGGCATGCTGCCTACTTAGCGGCAAATGTAGACGGTCAGTGAAATTCGCTATCTCATATGGTAGACTAATATTGCGTGTTACCAGCTCCGGACAGGGCTCAGGTTGACATACCGATTTTGTACGACAACTGGAGTATGCTCCCACTTTCCTTGAAATGCGCAGAAAGCCTGATCAGACTTGTTTAGTCTCGTCCATCATGAAAACATGAAGCCGTACTTGGTCAATCAAATAACCACACTCATTTCGGATTACAACGACAAGGTGAATGGTAAAGCTGGTGGAGCCCCTCTCGTTGACTTGGTATGTCCAGTGTCTCGAGTGGTAGCTGCATCCGTTGACCGATCGGTTCTTGCTAGTCGTTTTATATCTTGATGGACAACAACCAAGTACTGAATGCACGAGGAGAGCCTTTGAACACGCCCGCAGCTGTCTACACAAGGCAGCAGCCCGCCGTCAGCAAACAGGATCTGACCAATCAGGTTCTCAACCAGATACCTGATGTTATGCTGGGTAGTATCCTGCCGTCACATTGAAGAAATTGTATTGAAGGTAGTCGAGATCCCAGGGAGTGGACTGCTCTGTTGGAACATGCGTTTAGGCACGAGCTCGCAAGCTCGGCCGAGATAGTTCCTGAATGAAGATAAGGGAGGTCAGGGTATATAAACCGTAGTTTTCGATGTACCTACCTCACGCGATTGCCCTTCGGGCATCGTCCGCGCCCGGGACACTCGCGCCCGTCGACCGTCGTTCCGCTTGTTCTCACACAATCGCGTCAGCCCACCTGGGGGTTTACTACCAGAAGGCTCTGGGGGCAGCTGAAAGCCCGCCGCTCGCTGCGTCGCTGGACCTCGCGCGTATGCTGTCGCTCGCCGATACTCTGCTGGCCGTCGCCATGCCGCAGACTCCCGCCGTCGCCGTTGACCCACCTGCCTAGACGGGGCTGAAGCCGTCTACCCGCCGTTGAACGCCACACGCGCGCCACCGCCGCCGCACGTCGTACGATCGACCTGTCGAACCGAACCGCCCGGGACAGGGCCGAAGCTGTCCACCGCTGAACCGCCAAACCGTCGCATTGCCCGCCGCTGAGGGCATCGTCGTCGAACCGTTGTCGAACCGTTGAACCGTTGAACCGCCCGCCGAGGGTACCGAACCGCCTGCCGAGGGCACCGCCGAACCGTCTGTCGAGGACACCGTTGATCGAACCGCTGCCGTTGCTGGAGATGATGTTGATAGTGCAGAGCACGGGTCCACCCGAGGGTGTCCCGAGGCTGACCCGCACCCTTACCCGTGAGGGTATAGACCGCGAGAACGGGTACGGGTTTGTGCGCGGGTCGTGCGGGTCTGGGCGCGGGTCATGCGGGTTCGAGCGGGTCGCGGGTCATAACATTATATTGCAGAGTGTATTGTAAGGCTCGAACTGTATCTAGTCAACGTCGATGACCGGCCGCTCGTAATCCTCTGCACCAGTGTCAGGTTGCGAAGTAACTATGCTTACATCATCATCTTCGACATAACCCTTGAGACTCCAATCACCCAGACAAAGCAGCGCGCGGATTGATTGCGACGCCAAGCCATTCCGCACATGTGGAAGGATGAGACGGCCGCGACTGAACATACGCTCGACGTCCGCAGAGGTAGCTATTGATAGAAAAGCCATGACATTAGTAACTTCCGACGCCCAACAAGAAGACGTACCGGGAATGGTTAGATAGCTCTTGGCCATCCGCGAGAGGTTGGGGAATTTGCGACGACGCTCATGCCACCATTCGAGAGGGTCATATACAGCCTCGACGTCAGCAGCGAGGTAGGTCTCGAGCTCGTCTGCAACCTTCGTCGGCTTGGGCAGTGCGAGACATCAGGAAAAACCTACTTGTCTTGGCAAGATCTGGAAACACCTGTCAAGCCACATGGCGTACGTTCCAGGCCATACAGGACTTGAATGGCTTGCCCAAGCATTGTCTAACCACCTGGTACCTGTCAAGAACCATTGTACTTGAAGAATTGTATTATAAGACATGTAGTGCCTCTTCAAAGCACATTACAATTCGTGTCAGCACAAGAATACTTGCCAAGGCACTTCTTGTCGTATTGAATTTAAATACAAGCAGTTGTTTATTGTTCTCAGTAGATCACACAATTTGCATTATATTGTATCGCATTGACACCACAGCCAGCCCATGTTCAACTATACAAAGGAAGATGCAAGACCCTATAGTGGAGAGCCTAAGCAGCCATGTACAACTAGATAAGGTACTTTGTATGTATTGATACAGTGCATGCAAATATGAGGACAGACGCCAATAGGATAGGAGATGACACACATAAGCATGTGCATAACAAGGTAGGAGACAATGCACAAATGGAAAGTTAGTGAAAGAAGACAGGGGCATGAGAGTGGACAGGGCAATGAGAGCAATGGAGAGAAAACAAACACAGACGAAGAGAAAGATACGCGCACAAACCGAATGCAAGAGGTTCTATGCAAGAGCCTGGTGTTTGACATGGTGTCCGATATAATGAGCAGCGACGACGACCGCGCGCGAGAGCAATGACGGAGCCATGACGCGACGAAACAGTCCTACCACAAGCACGGAGGCGTTTGGTCCTGGCGCAGTCAGTCGAGATGGCGTCGGATATTGGTGGCGAGCCCTTCGCAGGAAAGAGTCGAACGAACGTGTTCGACCTCGACAGCGACCGGTCCATTTGCTCCGGCATCGGCAGCGGCACAGTCGGCAGCGACGGACTCTGGCTCGATGGCGTGGGCGTTGACAAAACCAGGGGGCGTCGATGGCAATGCAGACAATGCCGGAGTCGTAGAGGTCAAGTAAGACTGCTCGGGTATGTCCGGGCTCATGGGCGGACTCTGATGGCATTGACAGGCATGGGGGTGGGCTTCGGTGGCGACGTCGACGGACGCGCGGCGGAGCTCAGCGTGGTGGTTGACGTGGCGCCGTATGGCGTCGTCGACGGTACTGGTGTCGGCGCAGGCGAGGGGAGCACATACGTTAGGTATGGCCCATGCCCTTGAAGTCCCTCCGCACATGCGTCTCGAACTCCTTGAGCGCTGCCGGTCCTGCCGGTCCCTGGCCGACCGCGCTTTTAGGCGTTGGAGGAGGTAGAGGGCTGCGAACGTCGCCGAGGTGTGCACTCGCGATCTATGGAGGGCGTAGGTGATAAACAATGCCAGAGAGAGGCGGCGACGGTGCTGGTGGAATGGATGGCGGTGGATAACAGAGGGAGGTCCGGTGGATAACAGAGGGAGGTCGGCACGCAAATGTGGCACGAACCTCACGCAGAGCTTGGCCGTCTCTTCGTGGCCGTAGTACGGGTCAGGCTGGGAGAGTATTGTGAGTCGCCTTCGAACACAGCCTGAGCCTGAGTCCAGCCCAGTCAGTCAATGAGAATCCCGGGATGACAGCGCAGTCGTACCTGGCGGCCCGTCAACCCACACCACCCGCTGACCATCGGCGTCGGACAGGTCGGCGTGCACATCGCCAAGGTGGCAGCCCGATGATTCTCCTGCGCGCGGTCCAGGGGTCGCGAGCGCAACCCGGAGCGGAAAGGCCTCGTTGGTGAACGTTTACCTCTCCGATCATGAGCTTCCGGATGGCACTGCGAGCGGTGGCGTGAGAGCACACATATACACCGTCAGAAGGAAGCGGGGGCTAGCGATCGCTCGATGCGGGTGGAACGGCGATGATTATAAGAGAGCACGGTGTCCGATGTAAGGAGCAACGACAGCCGCCCGCGCGAGCAACGACGCGGCGGCCGGTTGGAGGAAAGCAAGCATGGAAAACAAGGAGATCATGTCGCGCGACGGGCCTACCACACGCACGGCGTCGTGGGTGTACCAGTCCTGGCCCTTCGCCTTCTTCATCGTCGAGGCGTGGTCGGTCGAGATGGCGTCGGATATTGAGGGCGAGCCCTTGGCGGGAAACGAGTCGAACGTGTTCGACCTCGAGAGCGACCGGCCCGCTTGCTTCTGCATCGGCGGGGGCTGCCCCCGCCGACGGCGACGGACTCCTGCTCGACGGCGTGCGGCGTCCCGTGGGTGCTGTGCGACGCGATGCAAATGTTCGCGTCGACAAATGCGCATCGCCGTCAACGCGGGGCTCGTTGAGGTCGAGTACGACTGCTTGGGCGTGTCGGGTGTGTCGGGGCTTGTGGGCAGACTTGGGTACGCTTTGCTGGCGTCGATGCATGGGGGTGGGCTTCGGTGGCGACGTCGACGGACGCGCGGCGGAACTCGGCGTGGTGGTTGACGTGGCGCCGTATGGCGTCGTCGACGGTACTGGTGTCGGCACAGGCGAGGGAGCACGTACGTGGGGTATGGCCCGTGGCCCTTGAAGTCCCTCCGCACCTTCGCCTCGAACTCCTTCAGCGCTGCTGGCTCGATGTTGAGTTGCCACTCGAGGTACGAACACATTTCCCGCTCCATTTGGTTGATCTCGCGGAGGGCAAACACGCCCTGTCTGACGATGCTCCATGACCTGTTGGAATAGGTGTCGTCGCAAGTAACCTTAGACGCGATCATGAAGGCGGAGATGAAGGGACGGTGGCCTGACAGTCGCAGGCGGCAGGGAACCGCACGTTTAGGCGTTGGAGGTAGAGGGCAGCGAATGTCACCGAGGTGTGCAGTCGCGTTCTATGGAGAGCGTAGGCGTTAGACAATGCGAGAGGCGGCGACGGTGCTGGCGGATTGGCGGTGGATAACGGAGGAGGTCGGGGCACGCAAACAAATGGTCACGAACCTCGCGCAGAGCTTGGCCGTTCTTCGTGGCCTTAGTACAGTTCAGGGTTCAGGCTGTAGGAATATTGTTAGTGTTCAGTTGAGTTGCTACGTCAGAAGGGAGTACTCACGATGCCATGGTGCAGGCAAGTGGGCGGGACTACGATGCACGCGCAGCGCGGGTGGGCTAGCAAGTGAGTGCATGCGTGAATGAGGACGCGAGCAAGTGCATGCGGATATGGGTGCGTAGACGAGTGGACATGCAATCGGGTGCAAGAGCATGCGACTGGTAGCGTAGCCCAGCCAAACGCACTATTTAGACCGAGAGATACGTCTGATCGCAGTGCACTGACGAAAATGAGGTCAGTACATATATCCAGCAACTACGTACCTGTGAACTATGTTCCCTTATGTTCGCCTCGCCTTCCCCTTGCCATGGCCTGCCTCCTCGCGTCCTTGTTCCGTGCCTATCGTGTTTAAGGGTCTTGCAATTCGGTAAGTGTTGAACCTGCACGCGTGATTGTCGAGTTTGCGCCGCCGAGATGCGTCCCGCCCCAGATACGTGAGGGAAGTCAGACTCATCCTCACAGAGACAATGTGAGTGTTGTGAGATGCGTTCGGTGAGCGCCGATCGGGAAAGTCATAAGTGTGCGGCGGGCGTTTATGACTTACTTGCATTCGCGCTGCATACCACGGTCACCGCTTGCTTGCTTCCCGCCCATCCGCTTTCTCGCATGTTGATTCGGTGCTCCCTTGCAGGTATAGTTAGTATTTCTCGCCTCTACGCCCAAAGCTCTCATGTCCGCTAGCTCCTTCGCCCACCCACTTAGCCTTCTTCCCTTCTCCCGTGTGCCCGCATTGTTGCCCGTCCAGCCGAATTCATTGTCAACTGGCTCATTCAGTGAACGTGTACTGATTTGTATCGTCCCAACAGGCACGTGAGAACAGAGGCGGGACTGGCTAGCTGACCCGCCAGTAGCAGACCTACCTGCATACGCTGAGAGTGGTACAAGACCACATCTTTACCTCCACCTTGGCCCTCATGTTCGCTCCCGCGGTGCGTTTCCTCTCCCGGGAGGTCCTCTTCTGCTCTCTGACAACTTCACCGAGAATTTTGCGGCTCTGGCGAAACGTAACCCGACTGCGTGGCCTCGGACTGGCATGATGTGCATGCAAGTCCGGCGCCGGGCGGCCAGCCAATATCG